TTATGTTAAATATTTTATAAAAAAATATTCTTTGCACTGAATGTATTCTTGCTTCCTACGCTATATTCGTATATGAATATAATTGAACTAACCCCGCGCTTTTGTACACGCCACTTGGCTCGTTTTGATCGTCGTCTTCCTCGATAAGCCGACTATCCAACAAAAATAAAAGTGTTCAATTCGAATCAGTAGCTCCGAAGATACCGCGTTCAAACTATAATCTCTATAAGCTCCACGATTTGACAGGCAGGTTGAAGAAGAGAAGTTTGTAATAACTACAATATTTTCAAAACTAAACATAGTTACTTTATATATTAATAAATATTATAATACAGAAGCATAGTAGACGACTGCATAAAAAAGTAACATTGAGTAAATCAATGCAATTCCGCAAAATATGGCCTTCGTTATCCGCGTTTGTATGACGCGATCACTTTGATTCTAAGTGATACCATCTTCCTAGTAAAAAACGTTCCCACACTTACCATTTGATTGCTCAATAATTATATCTTATTAAAGTATGTATTATAATAGAACTATAATGAATCTTTCTTTTCGTTAATATCGTTCTTAAGCGAGTATTAGGTTGTGTCGCCACAGAACCAAAATTCTTACTCAACCTCCATACATAAATTTAAAAACATACTGTAGAATATACACTGAAGTGATTTTATTATGTAGGTGATCCCATAAACATTTTTTATCTAGAAAATATCTTCCCAAACTCTCGTAAAAATGTGTAAAAAAGCCATATGCTCTGTAATTCCAGTACAAAAACTTATTATTGTAATCTAACCTTCTTTGAATAGTAAAAGAATAACTAATGTAATTACTATTAATCTCTAATGACAGAATGTCTAACACCACTCAGTTTTAAGGTGCACTAAAATCTTGTTTTCGACGAAAGACGAAAGACTATAAATTAACTTTATTGCCATTTTTTTATTCAGTTGTATTAACATGAACCAAAAGCTTGATTCAATTAAAAAAAGAATGAAAATACTAATTCTGCAAGTATATTTATTCGGTACGCAGAAAATAGTAAAGGTGTGGAAGAGCCAAACTTCGGCACGAATGGGTCGGCTCGACCGAAGTGATTCGGCTTCATAGAAAATCGGCGTGAAACAACCACAGCGTTGTTTTTCACCGTGTGAGTGAGGTTACCGGAGGCCCCGGTCCATAATCATCCCCCACCCCTTCACATTTCTTAAATATCTGAAACCCTTATCCCCAAATATAGACTCAGAACAAAGACTTAATATAACTATAGTGACACTATATTCTATTATTTTGAATACAGCAATATCTTTTGTAACCACAAACAACTGCGCAAACTGTATATCAAACATTGAAAAACTAGTCAAGTCAATCAAGCCACAGACATCGTCATCTGTCATTAGTATTTGAATATTAACTGAACCAATGTCTTAAGTTTACATTGTTGACAGATACCTATTTGTATTGTGCACTCATTTATGTTTCTCAAAACAATGAACATCAGCTGTCTATCTTCCTGTCATCTATATTAATATTTTAAAGAAGGAAAATTTGTAAGTTTGTATGTAGGGGGTAATCTTTGGAACCGCTGGTCGGATTTCCAAAATTCTTTCACTGTTAGATAGCTACAATGCTCCTGAGTGCTATAGGCTATAAAACATCACGCTACGCCCAAATGAAGCGGAGCAGTCAAACCGCGCGAGAGTAGCTAGTTTTACATATTTGCATTAGTCAGTTCTGATTTCAAAATTTTAAATAAAACCTAATGATGAAATAAACAGTATATTTTGTTTTTATATTCAATTCTAGGATGACAATAATCACAGATGAAGCCCAACAGACCCCAATAGACCATCACAGATAGGCCTTGGTGTTTAGCCAGGGTTGCGGGGCAAGCGCAATAAGGAATCGCGTCCTCGGCTTGAAGCAGAAGGATCATGATAATAAGTCTGACACTCCCTCCCACCCCTATATGGCAAGAGAAGTTATTTGGTCATAAAAAAATTGATAATATAATGATAAAAAAAGATCACTTAACATTTTTCAATCGCAAACTTACTTACCATTAAATTTACTTTTTAAATATTTTTGGTCTGAGGACTGATCTTTTAGTCCTAGATACAAAAATATGTAAAATGTCTGATGGGTCAGTTGGTGCCAAGAGCGACCAGACCTAGTCTACTTTAACCTAGAAAATTACACAACCGACCCGAATGTCTAAAGAGAGAAAGAGAAGACTGGTGGCAAAACAAAATCAGTACGCAATAAAACTTTTATGAAGGAAGAATCGTGTGGAAGAGCCATGCTTCGGCACGAATGGGTCGGCTCGACCGGAGTGATACCACTGACTCACAGAAAACCGGCGTGAAACAACCACAGCGTTGTGTTTCGCCGTTTGAGTGAGGTTACCGGAGGCCCAATCCTTCCCCTACCCCAATCCCTCCTCAATCCCTAAATCTCCAAATCCCTAATCCCTAAAAGGTAACTCCTCCGTTGCAAGTGTCCATGGGCGGCGTTGATTGCTTACCATCAAGTAATACGTCTGCCCATTTACCGACCTATTACATAAAAAAAACTTTTACGATTTTTTTAAACTAAATTTATTTTTCATCCTCTCGTGTCAACAGCTTGCATAAAATGAAATGAAAACGTATCCACATTATATGCATGCAAATTTTGAAGGCACAGATAAGAAATATCTCGCATATAGGGTCGTGATGCGATGCCGTTTGTGCTGCATAATAATGAAGTAACTGAGAATCCCTCGGTTAACTAAACTAACCAAGCGAAACGACAACGGTGTTCATTTGTTTACATTTTGTTGTAAAAACATGAAACTGTATATTATTTGTCGTGTTATATCTCATTTGAATTCTACTTACTTTATTAATGTTAATGATATTACCTAGTAACTATCAGTAACGTACCACACAGTCATATAAAAAAAAACAATATTTTGACAAACCTAAGTTAAGCTAATAACAAAAGTGAATTTAATTTTGTACATCCTTAATTTTCTACAAATGTCGAACTGAAAGCCCTTAATTTTGCATGCTAAAAAGATTTTATAAATACGCTTTTTATATCTTTGTTTAAAAGAAAACATATAGGTATCTGTATCGGAAAATAATTCGCTGCATGAAAAGCCGCCTTTTCCAGAAATAAACTAATTATGTATCAGTTATTCAAATTACTACAAATGTCGAACTGAAAGCCCTTAATTTTGCATGCTCAAAAGATTTTATAAATATGCTTTTTATATATTTGTTTAAAAAGAAAACATATAGGTATCTGTATAGGAAAATGATTCGCTGCATGAAAAGCAGCATTTCCCAGAAATAAACTAATTATGTATCAGTTATTCAAATTACTTCCCTAATAACATCGTGATTGAAACAATCGATAAAGGTGCGTTTCCATCACACAAATAAATCGAATGATTCACTTTTAAAATTCTAAGGAACACTGTTCAACACGATCGCTTAAATTATCCACCACTATTCGTATTTTGTTCGTAGACAAATAATCTTCGTAGTGAAAACGGACCTTAACAATTATTTTTTCATTGTTTTCATTTGCCGCATCATTAGCGGCCTTGACTTCGAAATAATGGACAATCACTTTGCAGACGTATTCAGCAATACACTGCTGTTTTTATGAGCAACTCCGTGAGGCAATGTTTGTACATATATGCTTGTTTATTTAACACACAGAGATAAGGTTATATTTGTTATAAACCGGCTGATAAAACTGATGATTCAATCATAGTTCACATACTAAATGCAGATGAATCTCGTGCATACATTTTTTATCTTCATAGAACTTTGTACGTATAATATGCGAAAAATAAAATACCATTTAAAAGAAACTAGTACCAATATCTCTTAACCATTTTAAAAGCCACTGAAAAAAGTAAATGCAATTTCGGTATCCTACGAAAGAATAAAAATACCGTTATAAAATTCCCGCCGTAAAACTTAAAGAACACACAATAAATCGCGTTGAAACACTAAAAGGGTATTTTAAGCTTTATACGGGCAGTAAAAATTTAATTCAATAAAACGTCTAGTGAGCAACGGCACTTAACCGGGACACCTTAACAGGGCGCCGGGATTATGTGGTTGTCCGACCTTCTGAAGTAAGCCTTTAATAGCCCGAAGATAGCCCACAGCTTAGCAAGATGACGTAACGTGTTGAAGTGGATTTGTTTTCAAACAACACATTACACCACAAGTTGTACTGAACTACTGAAGGTTAAATGTCTGGTTTTTGTGGTCAATAAAAGCATGCTTTACAAGAACTAAATGATCATGAATCAATTTAAAAGTGACATTCTAAAATGTCAATCAAGGAATACCGTGCACAAAAAGTTAAATAAGTCTGATCAATGACTATCGACTTTCATGAGATTATCGAGATTCCAAATGCACAATGCTTCCTGAAAGTGTATAAATTGTGGCGTAAGGTCCAAATCAAATTAAGATACTAACAAAAACGGTTTTAAAAGAATTTTATAATAGAAAACTGCAAAATCAATTTGATCCAGTTCAGGAGATGGAGTTTCTTTCTTACCTGGAATTGTATCTTCTACTTCCATCCTAAAATAGAAATAAACAACATCGAGAACATACAATGTTACTTTGTTTAAGTGCTCCTAGATTAGCGGAGTAGTTTTGGTTAGTTAGAACAAATTGCGAAGCGAGAGAGCAAATATTGTCGAGTCATGGCGGTTCTGGATTAGTAAAACAACCGCATGCAGTGACCACTGCGCGATTATATGAATAGAAGATCGGTTTAAAATTTCTAGGAAGATTTAGTCGCCGTTTTGTTAGACATGCAAACAAAATTTATGTAGTTCCATGGCTTTACGTACTACCTCTGAGAAAACCACCACCTCCAAGACCCCCCGAAAGGAGTCTCCCAGTACGTTATGAAAACCATTAAACTGAGTTTTAGTATTTGTACAGGTTTTAGTACATCTAGGACACGATTTGGTAACCAACCCTCAAGCATCCGCTTTTCAAGTTTTTCCTTCTTTTCCTGTTTCTTTGATTGATCGGGTTCCTTTTTGGCGCGCTTTGATGGCCGCTTTGTAGATGACACTCGTTCTGGAGAAGCATATTGGTTTATTTTAGTTGCGTAAAGCCAAAATCACAACCATTAGTTAAAAACATCTGATAATTACTTTATCAGTTACTTAGTCACACAAATATTTGTATGTAGCCATGTAGCTGATATTTCGACCAATAACAAAAAACTGTAAAATATAGGTCTACATGGACACAAAAATTAAACACACGAAAACCATTATTCCACACAAAAAATAGAAACCATCAGAACCAAACTCAAAAAATAGAAAAAGACAAACACAATTTCTGGAAAAGATTTTGTTCATAAGTTACTGACTATCCATGGGGTTTTTCCTGAAGTCGTTAATTGAAGTACATCATAAAAATGCTAGGTCAACAGTGACATCATCAGGGCCAGTCCAAAGTAAACATGATTAGGACCAGTGTGTGTGAATATCTAAATTAAGTGTATAACCTAGCCTTAGTTCAAGTTGAGGTTATTTAGCAATGAGCAAGGACAGGTCAAGTACATAAGTGCTTACAAGAATAAACATTGGGGAAGTTTTGCCGCAAACTTTGAACTAAATTGGAGAATGCTTGCAGAAACTGTGAAGTCGTAAAGTACTCGTGGGGTGCCCTGGACTAAAAATAGCTTAGTAGCTTTGTTGTCTGACTAATTTCTAAACATAAGAAGAAAATCATTTAGTTTTGGTTGGATATTGAATAAGAGAATTGTGAGATTGAATTGGTTAGGTTGTAAACATAACATTTATTATGTTTAGGTAGGTCTATCGAGAAACGAAATAGTCCTTAAGCACACAAAACTGCAAACACATAAAGGTCTGAAATTAAAAAGGCAAATTGGTTAACAAATTAAAAACAAAATTGCCTAGTATTATATGTTACAAAAAAATGCACAGAGTATAGACGATTCAGCATTTCGTATATAATAGTGTATTGTATGCCACTCAGAGTATAAAAAAGTTAAGCGATTGTCCCTGAATGGAATATTACCTGTGGGCTGTGAGCGCGTGATAAGCCGGACATAGACAAACGTGACTCCTTCATAAACCCTATTCTATATTTACTTCGTACATAATTAGCAACGCAATATTAACATCACATTATGTAAAAAATAGTCAGATACGACCTTAGCAATCGACATTCAAACAAAAAAAACTAAAATACAGATATTTCTTAATCTTAAACTTAAGTGAATAAGTTTGAAGTTTGATGGATGAATTTATTAATACTTTGGAAACGTATTTTGGCAATATGAGAAATAGCCAAGTTGCTTATTACTAATATACACCATATATAAATACTGTAAGGTGTTTAACATATCCAAAGACACTTGCTCGACACTTTACTTTTACTAAACCATTAATATATCTTCCCAACCTGTAGTTAAGAACAATTCATTTGTTCTTAATTAAAATTATGAAAGAAAAGCAAGTCATTCTATCTTCTATTTACATTAAAGAAATCCTAAACAATTATCCAAGGACATAAGTTACTTAAATATTTTTTATGGATCAAGAAACATCTTCGGCATCACGACATCGCACGACAAGCATGACTGCTTAACCTGTGTGGGTAAAACTCCCGCGCAGTTTTAGCCATTGCTAAGCTCATATTGATCCTAGCGATATGTATAAGCCTTCCTCGATAAATGAACTTTCTTGAAATTCAATTCCAATCAGTAAATAGTTCCAGCGATTAGTATCTACGTATAAATGAATAAACTCTTCAGGTTTTGTAATAATAGTATATATCTATTCGAATATTATAAAGAGAAAATGCTTGCATGTTTGAATTGAGTAGACTCCGAAACTACTAGACCGATTTGAGAACACGTTGCTTTGTGGGGAAGCTGCACTATTACTGGTAAACATACATAGGTTTCAAACTACGCGAATGCTACCATGAGGCACAGCTTGTAAGGATATATCATATACCTACAAAACGACAAAGGAGTCAATGACAGTCGGCTACACTAAATAAATTACTCGTAATTAATGACGTTTTTCCAAATGATTCCTATTTTACGGTTTGATAAGCGATTTATTTAGCGTCAAGTGAAAGCGATACGGGTGCAATACTAGATAGTTAATTCCAACAATTCTAATAAAAATGTTAAAAATACAGACCAATTAACGTACTTCGCGTAAGTCTAGTATCGTCATAAATAAAGTAAGCAATACGATTAGGCAATTGATAAGACAATTTCAATAGGTTTTCGCGAAAAGTAACGTTCAAAAAAATAATTTACGAAACCCAAAAGTTCAAAAGAACCTTAGTCTTGCATAAAGAAATCCATTTACTTTGACTATTACCATTGATTAACCTTTCTTAAGAATTCTTCGCGTGTCGGATAGCAAATAAAATTTAAACCATTAACGAAAAAGTTATCTGATTCTTGCATCCCAACGATACGGTAAGCAGAGTCCATCTATATATTCCATACATTATTTACTCTGGGAACGAGTGTGCATACATATTTGCTCAGCTCTACACTCTCTGTTCCTCTTTGAGTGGCAAATGCACAATAAGATTGCAGTATAGAGCGAATCGCATGCTTTGTTTAACACCCAAATATTATGCATTTGTATCCCTGAAAAATTTGTTTCCTAGTCATTTATATGCTAATTAGAACATAAAATACTCATACATTCGTAATTGCAATAAATCTTGTTCCTAATTCTTACGTAACATAAGGATTATAATCCAAAACTTACACAAACTACATAATATTTAGTTTACTTGTAACAGCTATCTTTCCACACTTATCAATAAGACTGCAATACATTTCGTCAGATGCAACCATTCAGTGAATCGTTGGACCGTGGAAAGCCCCGTTAGTTCCATACTTGTCCGCATAGTGGCGGGCCGGGTGGCGCTGGTAGTGAACGCACGTGATGTATGCGCAGGCGCAGCGGTTCAGACGCGCCGGTGCCGCGCGACAGCCTCCCGCGCACAACTGACAACCGCACTTATCACGCGAGTGACATAAAAAGTGACATTTTTATTTAATTTAATATTGTGTGAAACTGTGCCAAATTAGTGGGATATTAACATGTTATTAAAGGTAATGTTTAATTAAATTGTCTGTTACTTAACCTTGACTTTGAAAGGTTAAATGTTGTTGTTAATATTAGTAAACATTGTCCGCGTAACAATTAAAGGTTGCAATTAGATGTTCACATGCTTAACGACGGTGATTGTTTTCTTTGTACATTGTCATATTAATTATATAATATTGTCTAATAGAATGATGGGAATTTTAACTTAGCATCATTGTATGATAGCAACTTATAAAAAATCCTTAGGCATTGTTTTCGTACGTGTAGCTAAACCTATTGCTTAACCTCGAGAAAAATTACATGATAACATGTACCGAACACTTTATTATAAAAATTATATCTTCCTATTGTTGGTGTCAAAAGCAACAAAAATTCGCCAACAATCACTTAAAATAGAAGTAAACAAGTTTATTGTAACGTAACATTTATTGTTTTAGTAAAAATAACATCCAACATAAGTTAAAACATCTGACCTAACAATTCCGCTCAAATAAATTTTCCTCCAATTTTCCGGATCAAAAGCGGTTTGCTAAGATTGTTCGTGAAATGGCAACAATAGTAAAGCGAACCTTTGTTCCAAACGTTTTGTTTCAACATCGAATACAAAAATCTTTCGAATCTTCCCAATCCGACGAAATGCCGGGAGATGTTCCTAATACGTTCATCTAAAGAACTATTGTGTCTATATTTAACATGTTGAAATCGTAGGGCAAATACACGAATACATTTCCTACCAAAAAATGGAGCACAGAATCACAAGTTACGTTACATTACAAAATATTTGTTATCGACAAACTGACGATTCCGAGTTCCCCGTTCACAGAGATATGAAGTCAGATAAAACTGATAAAAGATTCGGTATCGTTCACTCTCTTGCGAGATTATTTAAGCCACGTTAGAGAATTTTAATTTTCCAGTGGTCGCCGTAATGAAAATTCCTTCGCAGAATACTGGACATTACTTAGTTCCCCAACAAAAGGTAACCTACTCGGAGAAGGCCTAACGAGGTCTTTGAAGATCGTTATAATAAAATTCTCGCTTGCAATTTGTGCCAAGTACTTGCCTTATTTTATGTTTAACATCGGATTTATGAATATGAAATAACTTTTCTATCTTATACTAAAAGGCTTTGATATATGCTCTTGAGGTTGAAGCTAGCTTTAGTAAATCACTTAGATTGATGGACTGATGTAGACGAAGCGGAATCGATAAACCTTTGAGATAAATATCCTTCGCCACGTACCTAACATGTAGGAAAATTTCATGGTTATCTATCGGAAGTAGAATCGTCTTCCAAACAATTGCTTCGTGTGTACTGTTCGGAGTATTTCTTTGTCTATTTTTTCGGTAGCGTGGATTTGTACTCTTTTTTGCAACAACTTCCTTCTCATTCATGTCTCGTCGAAAAAAAGTGATTATGGAAAATGGTTTAACGTTCTTTGAAAGTAATAGTGTGCAAACTCGTGACTAAAATATATTAAAATAAACTTTGTGTGAATTTACATAACAAAACAAATCAGTTTGCCACGTTTTACATGACGTGTTAACAAATTCTCCGTATTTAAATTTAGTAATAGATTCAATAATATTATGACGTCATCGTAGATCCTTATCATGAGAATATTCTTAGAAGACCTTCAGTAACTCATCTAGTACTCACGTTTATTCGGGCAGTGATAATTATTTAGTGAAATTATCACGGCCGCGCCAACATGGTTACTAAGACGTATTCAAATTCTCGACGTGACGTCGCTTATCTCCTGAGAAACTGTACCAAGGTCAACGAAGGATCTTGCTTGATCCATCTACAATCTACGGACTTTCTCTGTCAACTTACTGCCCTCCTTAACAAACGTGTGTGTTTTGATAATTCTTCGTAATCGTGATTCTGTGTCCGTAACGCGTATAAACTACGTTGTACCCTTTTTACTAATGCTGCCGTATCTTACGTAATTT